GGGGTCAAATACTGTCCCACTTCCTAAGTCTAGAAAACCTCTGAAGAGAAATTCACCCTGGACTAATTGGGGTGATGAGCATCATGGGGGTGGGGGGGAGCCCACACGTGATCCACTTCTGCCTGCACACCCTGACACAGCCTGTTTACCAGCAGCTTACACTCACAGAAGATGCCACACGCCGAGCGCAAAGCCTGATGGTGAAGATCACCAGCAATGGCCTACCTAAGAAACAGCCACCCGAGAAGCAACCCGGAATTTAGGTCAGTCTAACCAAGATGGCATCACTTACTGAGAAGTCAGAGAAAACAGAAAATCAATTACACTTGTAGATTAGGCCACACTGGGAAAATCCTGCATTACCTCCACTTGAGGCATTCGGAATTAGGCTGAATGAAATACCAGCAGACATATTAAGAACAATAGGATCTCTTTCAACAGGGTTGACAGAAGAGAAAATATGACTTAATAACAAATATTTTTCTGATTTCAATAGGCCACATTGACTTGCAATCATGTGCTTTAGGTTATCCAGTTAGACTACAGTTTTACAAAGATGAGAATATTTTTAATGATTTTAGTGTTGTTTAGGGACTTCACATATAATTACTCCTTTCAGATCTTTCATACCAAAAAAAAGCTTTTAATGATCACATAAAAGTGAATATGTTTTTAAGAAAGATGTGCAGGGGCTGGGGTTGGTGGCTCAGCAGTAGAGCGCTTGCCTCGTACGCGTGAAACACTGGGTTCCATCCTCAGCACCACATAAAAATAAGCAAAAAAAAAAACAAAAAACGAATGTGCAGTCTTTCAACATTGCTTATCTTTCTTCCCTTAGACTCAGTCCTGTAACTTTTCAAAATATCAAAAATTATACAGATTCATTATAACCTAACAAAACCTAAAGCAAAAATTGTCAGGAGATAAAATTTTCAGACCCACTTTGAAACAGTGAGGAGTTGTTCAAAATGAACCCAGGAAACGAAAATGGCTTCAAAGACACAAAAGCTCTCAATCAACACGGGAAGTACACAGCCCACCACTGTCCAGGATTGCTGGGCAACAGGATGCAGGAAGGCAAGAGCAGTTTTCTGTTTGGATTCAACCAAAAGAGACAAAAATGAAAACGAGTTCTGTATGACTGTGTTCATGACAACAGAGTTGAGTCCTTATTGACATATCTTACTAACAGTTTTAAAACATCACTTGGTGTCACAGAAGCAACAATAAGAACTCAAACGGTCTGTGACAGAAGCTATGCATCCAAACTCTCTTCAAGGAAGAGGCCAGCAGGGCCCAAACACGGAAAGCAGCTCTGAACACAGCAGAGCCTGGTCTCTCCGTGGCTACCTCCTTAACAATTATGGTAGCAGCAAACCAGATGTCTTCTCTGCATAATCGAATATTTCATAAAGGGACAACTCCAGACAGTTGGGGCAGGTTAGAAAACAGGAAGAGACAATGCAATACTGAGGGCTGGAAACAGGCCTGAAGAGGCACAGACAGGAACAGCTCCAAGATACCAAACAAAGAAACAATACAGAGGGTCACCAGACAAAAGCCGAGGCTCTGGGGCAAGAGAAGCAGCCAACCAGAAACAAGACAAGAGGGAGCCAGAGATGGGGACAAGACTCCTATCACAATTCCAACCTCCTACTGGCCAAACACAGGGAATGACAGATGGCAGGGATCCGACCACGGAACCCATGCAGGTTCATCTCCGTGAGCAAAGATCAAGGTGGGGGTAGACCTGGAGGGGTAAACAGCCCACTGCTGCTGCAAACTCCAAGATAAATGTAAAGCAAATTGAAAATACTATGTAAGAAACATCTAATAGATCACAGGCTGGAGCTAAGAGTACATGAACGGCATTAATATAGAAAAAATGGAAATGGAAGAATGGAGTAGAAAGCTAGTAGGATCATGCTGCAAAGGACCAAGATGATTTGAAGGTATCAGGCTACCACATAGGTACACATGCAGGTCAGTGAAATAATCCCGGGTCAAGGGCAGCAGCTCGCAAAGTCAGATGGAAAGGAGCATCACTGATGACTTAGACGGGTTTGTCTGTCAAGCCACCCCAGCATTAAGTGGGCAGTACAAGGTCAACACTAACAAGAAGTGAGCCCCTAATATGTTCTGGGTTCCTCAAAATTCACATCCTTCTAATACTCTCCTTTTTAAAGTACGAAAACAGCCTCAGGAGAATATCTCTTTGGAAGACAACCAACAACTGGCGGATGGCTACAAAGGCCACATTATTTCACCAACAAGCAGCTGCCTCGAGGGAGAACCAGGAGAGACAAAAGAACAGAAGTTCACCTCCAGGCCCTGTTTTCCATCAACCAGGAGATCCCAGACAAGTCACCCGATGCCTTCATAGCTCACTGCAAACCAAGGGCAGCTACCAAAATTAATCCCCCATTTCCCAAACTATCTTTTTCCACTAATAGCACTTAATCCATCAGCTTTCCCATCCTCAAATCAAACTGGCCAATGAGTATTCCTGCCACCTTGATCTTCAACTCCGATTCCTGCAGACTCTCACAGCCTCTTCAATAAATCCAATCAAGCCCAAACTCTACCAGTGAGAAATCATCCCTAGATAACCCAGCCTGGGAACAAAAGGCCTTCTATGATTTCCAAAGAAATTACATCTCTGCAAGCCATCTGGGCAACTTCTATGAACGTTGATGCCAATCAGTAATTTTTTAAAATAGTATTTCTTGGAGCAATTTTAGGTTCACAGCAAAATTGAGCAGAAGTACAGAGTTTCTATAAACCACTGCCTCCCCACTACCAATATGCTGTACTAGATTAGTACATTTATCACAAAGTCTACACTGACATCATTACCACCCAGAGCCAGTAGAGTTCACTTAGAGTACGTTCTGTGGCTTTGAACAACCGTACAATGGCATGTGTCCACCATTAGAGTATTATACAGAATAGTCTCTCTGTCCTGAGCATCTTCTGTGCTCTGCCCATTCACTTCCTCCCCACCCACCCACAACCACTGACACTTGACGCCACAGTTGACCTTTTGCAGAGCATCGTATACAATGTGTAGCCTTTTCAGATTGGCTTCTTCTAATTGGCAATAAGCAGTTAGGGACCCTCTGTCTTTTCAAGGCTTGGCAGTGCATTTAAGTGCTAAATAGTAGTCCATTGTCTAGATGTACCCCAGTTTATTTATCCATTTACGTATGGAAGGACACCTTTGTTGCTTCTAAGTTTTAGCAATTGTGAATTAAGCTCTTATAAACATGTGCAGGCACACATTAGCTTCAGGCTGACTTAGGTAAATATCAACGAGCATAAGTGCTGAAGAACAGTTTTTGTTAAGAAACAGCCAAACTGTCTAGCAGAGGGCTGCGCCATTTTGCTTGCCCATCAGAAGAGTTCCGTTCCTCCACAATGTGCTAGCATTTGGTACTGTGTGTTTTGGACTGTGGCCATTTTACTAGGTATGAGCAATGTAGTCTTGTTGCTTTAACTTGAAATTCGCTAATGACATATGTTGAGCGTCTTTTTTAAATGCTTAACTGCAGGTGTATATTTTCTTTGCCAAAGTGTCTGCTAGGTTTTTGTCCATTTTTTAATTGTGTTGCACATTTTCTTACTGTCCAATTTCAAGAGTTCTTCACTTACTTTGGATACAAGCCCTTTATCATATGTACTTTTTACAAATATTTCCTCCTATACTGTGATTTCTCATTTTCTTGGCAGTCTTTTGTAGAGCTGAAGTTTTTGACTTTAATGATGTCCAACTTTTCAATCATTTCTCTCATGAGTCAGACCTTTAATGTTGTATCTAAAGTCACTGCATACCCAAGGTCACCTAAACCTTCTCCTATGGTATCTTCATTACCATTATTTATCTTTCTAAAAGTTACTGAAAGGCCACTTTGTGTCTGGTGCTCAAGACCCGATCAGGCAGCAACCTCTCAAGCATCTTGAGGCACTGCTGAAGCAGCTCATCCAACAATCTGAGAACAGTGCTTCTGTTCTGACATTACACTGTGATTTCCCTGCTGTCAAAGTACAGGCTTTGGATCCAGGGGATCTGGCTGGATCTTTGTCACATACTAGTCATGGGCCTGGGGTCTCAACTCAGCGGCAAAAATGAGCAAAATATTTAAACCCATTTTACTTTACGGTACTGTCATAAATATTACAACAGCGCACAGACGATGCTACTCTCTAGATAGCCATGGGACTGGAGTGGAGTTCAGCAGTGAAGTGATAGCCCAGCATAAGAAAAGACTAGGTTTCCATACCCAGCACCTCAAAACAACACCAACAAAAAAAAAAAAAAAGAGGAAGGTGCGCACGCGTGCGGGGTGGGGTGGGGGGGGGAGGGTTCTGCAATACCTTCTCCAATGTATAATTTTGAAAATTCAAAGTAATCACTACTATAAATTTTTAATTCTGATAGTTCTTTTTTTTTTTTCCTTTCTAATGTTAACTAAGGTTAGTATCATTCTAAGTCTATAATCGTCAATCCCAGATAAACAAAAGTTCAAAATTAATGCACAAAAACATATGGAAGACATTGGGCACAGGACATGCTTCAGTGAGCACCGGCTAATGAAATAATCAAAGCACAATTCTATTTTCTAGTGCCACTACCAAATTTATACCTGAAAGTCTATAAAATAGTACTCTTAAAATGACAAACTAATTATCTGATGTGAATGAAAACATTTCCCTATTTTAAAACTGATTAAATTCTGTCTTCTGATCTAATATTCAAACTAAATCCATTATATAGAAAAATAAAATTTTAAAAAAATTGACTAGAGCCTACTTCATTGACTCATTTGTATGGCAATCAAACATACACTTCCTGGTCAATGCATGAAGTCAAGGACAAAACTGAATGATTTTAGATGTAAAATAACTTTTATAAAGATGGCCTATAAGTGTGAACAGAGAAGTGTTTTTATAACATGGTTCAGAAAATACATGTGCCTGCTTATCACACTTTCAACAATTACCTTTAATTGTTTCCTCCACAACTTCCACCACACGATCTATCTGTTGAACCTAGAAGAAAAAACAAACAGACAGCAATGGTAATGGAGAAGAAAACGTACTCACGCTTCTGCCCGAGTCGATGTGTATTTCCTAAGCACATCAACGCTGGTTTTCTTTAATTAACACATTTGGAGAGATTATTTAAAAATTCTATACTAATATTTTGTGTAATAATGAAGTATGAAATTATCTCCATCTTCTCCCCCAATGATGATTGAAAATAATAATCGTACTGCTTTCAAACAAACTGCCTGGATAGACTATTTATGTCTCAATGTAACTGGAGATATAAATTTAAGTTTAATTAAAACATGTCTCCTCCCACAGAGCTTTAAGCAAAAAGGATGTAACGACAATCTACCCAAAAGGACATGCTAATACTAAGGAGTGCCATCCCTAATGCTGTGCTTTCTTGTTTTAATTGTTAAAACCCTAAGAATCTCTACCAGGCATCAAGTCCACGAAATACAAGGTTGAACAACAGGCTCCTGATCCTGTGCCCGTGACCGGAGGAGCCCTCCCAGGGTGCCAAAGGAACACAGGACAAAGATAATAAAATCAGACCAAGGGAACCAAAGTGACCTGAGTGACAACGGGAGAAGCCCACCAAGCAAACTGCAGAAGGATGGCTCGAGGTCGGAAGGAAAACGGAAAAGGCAAAGTAAAATTATGATCCAAGAAGCTAGAGGAATAATCAGAAAAAGATCAAGGCTGATTCTCTAAAGATGCTTAAATTATTATCGTCTTCATACAGAAGAATCCTATGTGCACTGGAAAAGTGAAAACCAAATACGACTACCAAAAGAAAACAGCAGCAGGGCGTGGGGGTGCACGCCTATAGCCCCAGCAGCTCAGGAGGCTGAGGCAGGAGGATCTCGAGTTCAAAGCCAGCCTCAGCAAAGGGAGGGCGCTAAGCAACTCAGTGAGAACCTGTCTCTAAATAGAACACAAAATAGGGGTGGGGATGTGGCTCAGTGGTCGAGTGCCCCCAGGAGTTTCATTACCAGTACTCCCCCCAAAAAGGCAAACAACATTCCCCTCCTCTATTTCCACTCCACAGATAAAATCACTTTATGATGAGGCACCAGGTATTTTTCTCATGCTGAATTTTATATAAAAAGTATTTTCCTGGGCTGGGGCTGTAGCTCAGCGACAGAGCACTTGCCTAGCATGCGTGAGGCACTCAGTTCGATCCTCAACACCACATAAAAAATAAATAAAATAAAGGCATTCTGTCCATCTACAACTACAAATGTTTTCTTAAGTTTTTTTTTTTTCCCCTGAATCTTTCTATAGTGCTCTTCTTTTTTAAAAAATGACAGTGGAAACTTGTGTGCGCGCGCGCTTTGCCCCTTGACTTTTCTCTACTTTTTTCTTTATTCATCCTCATTGCATGGATGTTGCAAAATGTGTTCATCCATAATCCTACTGATGAAAGAATGTCATCACTCTACAATAATGCTATGAAGAACTTGACTGAGAAGAACCTGTTCAAAAATTTTTATTATAAATACAATAGCAAGTCTCCTAAGATCTCCTTTCAACCTCAGTGTCCTACAGGAAAATAGGGAAGACAAGTGTGCATAAACCCTGCCCTGCCAGGGGTAAAGTGACAGAGAGGAGGAGCCAGCAGTGCCGAAGGCCGCTCAGGTGGTAAGTACACACAGCCCAAAACGAACCTGTGTTTAGAGGTCGACAGACTTAGAGGAAGTGAGCTCTGTGGTAACAAGCCATGAATAAAATGAAGACACTCACAGCTGTGGGCAGAAAGGGAAGGAGAGAGACTCCAGGTAGCCGAGGACATGGAGACTCGATGTGTTTGTGTTTGGATCAGTGCATTTCTTTCTTTTCTCCCTTTTTGTTTTTCTAGTTTATGTGCTAAGAGGAGAACAGGGATAGAGAAGGAAGAGTTGAATACAGGACAAAAACATGATGGTGTAAGGGCCCTGAGCGTGGGGGACAGGGTGCAGGCTTCTTGTGAAAGCAGAGGTCGGGGGACAGCAGGGGAGCAATGCCCATGCTCCCGGGGGATGAGGGCCGAGCAAGCTGTCGTCTGCTGGCCTCGGTCTGTCTCAACAAAGTGAGAAATTCATGTGCTAAGAGTGAGAAAACGTGAGGAAATAAGAAGGGAGTCAATGTCCACAATCGCCTGTTATAAGAGCAGGAGCGAGTGGGACTAGGAACTCGTAAAAATCGTCAGGACTAAGAAGCAAATTTCTAGCAGCAAGTTCACTACAGCTGACCCTCTCTCAAGGCCTAGCGGCTTCAGTATAGGAGGCAAATAGGCCGATTCAAACTTGCCGATTCCATCACTCACTCATCATTTGTTGATACCTGATGTATACCACAGATCCAAAGGGCTAGAGTAGCAGCATTAAGAGGTTATGGAAAAGACTAGAGGGAAATGGAAGGTAAAAGCTGACTGTGCGTTTTGGATAACTTGAAGTTTGGAAAATAGGTGAAGAAGTACAACCATAACGAAGAGATGAAGTGGGCAGGGCTGGGGCAAGAAGGAGAGGAAGAAGAGAGAAAAAGAAAGTCAAGCAGAGGGCACAATCCAGAGTATGGACACAGGCATTTGGTCTTTTAGAGTAATCCCAAGTTCCAAGATCTGGTCACAGAAACAGGTTGCTGAAAAACAGTGGAGCTGAGAAATAAGGAGGGGTGAGGTTAAAGTTTGGTGAGACATCAAATAAGGGACAACATTGACACTGCCCAGGGTGACAAAGAGCTGGGCAGGACAGGGCAGAGTTGTCCAAATTTTCCACTGAATGTAGATGAACAACCAAGATATCAAATGATAATATTAGTTAAAGAATAAGAATGAAAAGAGCAAAATATGAGATAACTCGGTTGCGGGGCCAGAACAAGAGTGCTCTCCCATGCACTTGGAGATACAGAAGTTCAAGGGAGCACTGCACCCTGCCTTGAACCACCTCAACTAAGAGGCCATACTGCCAAGGAAGAGAACATGTGGAGGAGCAGTCTGCTACAAGTACGTTGAGTTAAAACAATAAAAGTCTTGGAAGAAAACAGACATAAATCCACGCCAACCTGGATTAAACAATGATCTCTCAAATATAACAACAAAGCATGAGTAATGAAAGAAAAAACAGATAAAGCAGACATCACCAAGAGCCAAACCTCTTGGTCCATCCAAGGACACCATTAAGAGAGTAAAAAGTTGCAGAAAATGCAAGAAAACTTTTACAAATCATGAATCTGACAAGGGATGTTTATAATTATGAGAAGTCCCACAACTCAAGAATAACAGAAATATCAATTAAAAATGAGCAAAGGAGCTGAATAGACGCTTCTCCAAGGAGATATACAAATGGCCAGTAAAGAGATGCTCAGCACCATTAAGCCAATCAGAGGATTCGAATTGTGACAACAAGCAGGAGACTGGGATTTTGTGCACATACAATTTAAAAAAATGAAAACATTCTGGAAATGGATGGTGGTGAAGATTGCAAAACAGTATGATCATGCTTCATGCCCTTGACCTGTGCACTTAAAAATAGCTACCATTGTCATTTTCATCATGCATATTTTACCACAATTTTAAAAAACCACCGAGATGAGCTCTCACTTCACACCCACTGAGGTAGAATCCTAAAAAACGCTGATAACAGTGATGGTGAGGACAGGAAGCACTCCTAATGGAGCTAGACTCAATGCAGCCAGTGTGGACAGGTCTGCAGCTCCTCAGAGGGCTGACCAGTTTCACTATGACCTAGCAATTCCAATCCCAGACATACACCCAAGAGCAATTACAGTTTCAGCCACACAAAAACTAGTGCACAATGTTCACAGCACTATTCAGAATGGCCAAAGATGGACACTCAAGCACCCTTCAGCTGATAGATGGGTAAACAAAACGTGGCATTTCTACACAATTTAGTATCGAGTCATAAAAGGGAATGAAGCATTCATACAGCATTACACTAAATGAAAAGGCCAGACAAAAAAGGTGACATGCTTCCATTTATACGAAATGTCCACAAAGGGGAATGACAAGAGGTTAGTGACTGCTGAAGAGTGCTGGGTTCCTTTATCCAGTGATGACCACAACGCTGAACGTACCTAGAGCCATGTTACCCATATAACTGGAGGCACTGTCCACTGGTGGATTGCATCTCAATAAGTGATGAGGCAAAAAAAAAAAAAAGCAGAAGGTGGTCACCTGTTCTAGTGTCAATGTCATTAAGTCAAAGGAAATTTTCTAGATTAAAGAACTAAGAGACCTGAAAACTAAATGCTACTGTAGAAACCTGGATGTGCTCCCCACCCCTTTTCCTATAAAGGGCATTACTGAGACAAGTGACAATAACCATAATGAAATAAAAGTCTGTATACCAGCTTACTGTATTTCACCAACGTTAACTTCGTGATCTTGGGGATGACCTGCCTTTTTGAAACACACAGGTACTCAGCAAAGGCACCATACTTGCAGCTTACTCAAGAGGATAGGGAAAAAACACACGCATATGAAAACAGAACAAATTTGTTAAAACAGTAATACTGGGGAATTTTGGGTAGAGGGCATATGGGAAATCTTTGCTTACTTTTACAAGTTTTCTGTAAGTATGATATTATATCAAAATTAAGTTTCCCGGTGTATGTTTACGTATGCATAGAGGAAATGAGGGCAGTTCTTTTACCCTGCTGGTTGTGCAGGATATGCTTCAATTAATATAGCTGAAAATATATTCTGATTTTTGAAAAGCACTCCATAGCATTTGTATTAAAGGTGAAAAATTCTGTATCGCCCACAGATGATAATTACTGGCTGTTATGAGAAACTCTAGGGTTTGAGAGTCCACAAAACTTAAACAGGTACAAAGTTGGGCGGGGGCACCTAGTTCAGCAGTAGAGCACTTGCTTAGCATGCTCTAGACCCTTGTTCCATGCCCAGCGCTGGAAAAACAAAAAACAAGTAAGTACTTGATGAAAAGCAGCAGAACAGTTGAAGCTCACAAGATGATTTCCAGAACATACTATGTCCA